ACCACTAAGAATGAGCATTATGTGACTGTTTCACAGTGTCTCTTAGTCGATTAAGTTCATAGGGTTCCTGAGCTTCATTGTTTTACGAGACTTCTTTGTTGTTGATTGAAATGAAACTCTTCCAAAAGGCTTTATTTGATGACATTTCGGGCCGTAAGCCCTTCTTCAGGTCTATAACATCATCCATACATTACGTTCTAACATAAAAGAGTGAATCAATACAACATGATATACGAAGCTGACTAACCAATTACAAAAAAGGGAAATTCCGGGTTGAGGGGAGCGGATTGATTCCGCTGAGTTCGTAAATCGCTGCAAGAATGGTGGGATAAAGATGTGGAGGAAAACGTGAATGGGGACCAACCTCTCCTGCTACTCACTCGGAAAAATGGAGCAGCCAGATAGAGGGTGATCCATTTCGAAATACCATGCAAATCATCGCTGTGCAATGACTGTTGAGATGGAGCTACGTGACGGATGGTAAATGAAGAGTATCGACTGCTTAAACCTTTACCATGATCACCCTCTATCTGGCTGCTCTATTTTTTCCGAGTGAGTAGCAGGAGAGGTTGGTCCCCATTCACGTTTTCCTCCACATCTTTATCCCACCATTCTTGCAGCGATTTACGAACTCAGCGGAATCAATCCGCTCCCCTCAACCCGGAATTTCCCTTTTTTGTAATTGGTTAGTCAGCTTCGTATATCATGTTGTATTGATTCACTCTTTTATGTTAGAACGTAATGTATGGATGATGTTATAGACCTGAAGAAGGGCTTACGGCCCGAAACGTCGTCAAATAAAGCCTTTTGGAAGAGTTTCATTCCAATCAACAACAAAGAAGTGTCTCTTAGTATTATGCTGTCCCAGAGCCTCATCAGGACCTAAGATATTGTTTAACACAAAGAGCACCGAAATTTCATTCCCAAAAGAATTCCAAAAGTCCACAAAATTCGAAGTATTCACAAATTCCAAAAGTTCCAAAAAACCTAGGAAATAATTTGAAAAAAGAATTCCTGTATATCACTTTCGTTCGGCCTGGACTACATTGATTATAGCTGGTATAATTAATTTGGCGATTTCCCACCTGCATGATACCTACATGTGTTTGCCACAGCCAAGGATAAAGCTGCCCTTACGGGAGCCGCGCCGTTGGAGTAGAATTAAATGACTTACCCCTCACCCTCTGCTTAAATAGTAGCGGACGTACTGTGACGGTCATTGCATGTGATGTGGAAAATTACGTGGCATTGGGCACGTAGATAATTTAACAGTTTAACAATTGCATAGCAGTTCGTCCTTACCACTAAACTATCACCCGAAGTAAAAAAAAATAGAAATAATTGAGACCCGATTGTTTTTATCGAGAAAGCTCGTGACCGAGTAGATGGTACTCATTGATCAGTGTTCTTGGAGAAAAAGAAAAAGAGGGGTAAAATGAGAGTTAGATTTATTGGCGACGATTTGGTGGCTGATTTCCGTCGAGTGGCCCTCCCGTTTCGCATGCCACTTCGAATCTTCGCTGTAAATGTGGCAGCGAATATCTCTATATATAGACTAGAATTTTGGTGTGTTTGTCTGTCTGTAACCACTAGGCTCGCACGTTACGTAGACCCAAGAAAACAGTTGGGGCATGGTCCCGTTAGGTGGACAGTCGCCCCAAGGGCACGTGCGGCACAACGTAGGCCTTGGGCAGAAGTAGGTACGGCAGTGGGCGGAGTCCGACCCAATGGGCGGGGCTTGCGCCAAAATCTTTTGAGAACATCAGTTTTCTCGCAGAGGACTCGATTGAGGTTGGCAATCGCAGTGGTGGTTGGGTGTTGCGGTAGAAATGAACCTTCCGCAGGGTCACATGGTATCGATTGGTAGCATATTAAATCATTCCGTCAATTGCAAGGTTGCCCATCAAAACAGTTGTTGAGTGAGAACAGTTCAGAAGATTACATTTGATGAATTGGTACAGTTTGAGTCAAATCAATCGTAACTGATTGGAAATGAAAAAGGATTAATGGAAAAGGACTAACAAAACTGAGTCAACCTCGGCTTACTCGAATTTTGACTCACGCGCGGTCCCTCTCCCAATACCGCGGAGTGGAGCGCGCAGCTAAACTGGTTGTTCCATAGAGCAGGCAACTTTTTCGAATGGTATTTGACTTGATGCAAAATCCTCAGATTTTAGTAAGAAATCTCTTATTTGAAAACCCCTTATGGGGCAATGTGATAGAATAATCGAGGAAAGTAGTTACACAACATCCGATTCACAACCATGGCGTCCTTTCTTTCGCTGGAGGAAATCCACTGGTATCATCGTATTTCAACGAGGGTATCACAAAGCAAATGTACCAAATCGTAAAGTCAGTTAACCTTCACGAAATGCTAGTGTTCTGATCACCAACGAACATCAATGTTTGGCTGATCATCAAGGCTTTACGGAGATTGCTGCTGCTCGTACAGCACGAGGCCATTTATTTGGTCTTATATAAGGCGTGAGGTCGGAAGTGCAGGGGTTTAAAGAAAAACATGCTGTGCTTCAATTCATAAAGGCATTAATTATTATACATTTAACTAATTTCAAACTGATTACCCTCGACTGAAAATCGAAGAGCACCTTATAATCTATCAATGACTGCATAATAGCCATCTACACCGCAGAAGAAATTCTCATGAAAATGCACCGTTCGAGCTTATCATGGTCCTCGTCCTATCGTGGACCACTACAACGCCAATTGAACGCTGGTTGGAAGGGGCCTTGCATAATCAGAGCCAATGTCTCTAGGAAGCAATCAATCAGTTAACCGATTGAAGGGTTTTTGCGTCAGGCTGGGGCAATTACCGAAAACCTTCTCAAACTCGACGGCAATTGCGTTGACGTCATATTTTATGTGTGAAAACTATCTCGCATGGGACGTAGCGACCACATTAGTTGGTGGTACTGATCCACCTTTTATTGCGGAATGCGGAAATAGAAACGGTAATCATTGGTGGGAGACGGCTATCGGCGCCATCCTAAGATACAGTGCAACGTGGTGGAACGGTTTGTCTGGAATTCTCACCATACTTTCACTCAAGAAGTCTTTCAAAGGTATAAAGCAGTAGATGCTTTATTCTTTTGCGAAATCTTGTATTTCTTGATGTTTCCTATGGGTTTGTGCTGAATGTTGCGATAAACCATTATGAGCCGGGAAGATGAGGATTTACGGAGGTCGAAGGAGCTCTGGGGTGTGTGAACTGAATCATCCCTCCCTAGGACTACGCTCAGAGGCAAACCCAGGCGGTTAACATTATAGAACCAAAAAAAAATCGTAGAAAAAAGCGTGGAAATGAAGCTTTCTGACCACACAGGTGGATCAGTTATGGAGGCTGGAGAAGCTTGTGTGTTCTTCTAGAGCTTCTTCTCATCGAAGAAAGCATAGAAAAGACGATTAGTTGAAGTTCTTCTGCTTGTCCTCATCTCTTAAGCCACACAAGAAGATTTGTGCCGGTCCGCAAAAGGGCAGCGAAGCTGAGGCGAGGCGTATTCTTAGCAATCGCTGCCGTTAGCTGTAACTCTTTCGGTACATCGTTGGTGCTATGCGTTGTAGCATTTTGACTAATTTTTTTTCTAATTTAGAAAGGGTGCAATCTCACGCTGCAGACAAGCAAGAACGTGCCTGTTCGCTAATGTGTTAAGCTACACCATTAGTATCATAGCTCACTGATTCTAAGTGATTTTTTTCTGAGTTATTTCTCAAAAGAAATGTTGGTGCTAACGTAGTTGATGAGGGTACACGGCGGCGCATCGTTCTATTTGTCTATGCTGTCTCTGCAGGAACGGCAGTGCCAGTGGTTTTGCGCGGCGTAGTCCGTCCTCACGGGCCTAGAGTTGGCTTTCTGGTCCTATGTTCAAGGCAGAGAACGCAGAGGTACAGAGCGCGCGCGCCGCCGAGTGTACACCGCCTCCCCATCAACTACATTAGTGCCAAGATGTATCGTTCTTATGTCCTATATGATTAGGGTACGGTATCCCCAATCAGAATCATAAAAACGCCACTATTTTTGTTTTGAGTTTGTTTTTTAAACGTGATATGAAGTGTGCTCTGGCTCAAAACAAGGTTTCATTTAACTTATTTGTCTGGATTTATTGGGTGTGGTTTGCTAGGACAGAAAGCGACTTTTTCGCGTTTCGCAGCGCGAAACATTTTTCGCTGCGGGAACTCCAGGTCCACTGATGATCAGCGGTGGACCTGAGGTTCCCGCAGCGGAAAATGTTTCGCGCTGCGGGAACTTCAGGTCCACCGCTGATCATGAGTCGCTTTCTACCCTAGCGAATCACACCCGGATTCACTTCACCGTCGTCTTATTTAATACTATGAGAAAATGGCTACAGTTGTTTGCTCATATTACTTGTCAGTATTCAGGAACACGGGACTTGCATTCGTTGGTCCATCTGCATTCTCTGTGGTGCCGCCAACATCAAGTGTTCTATCAAGTGCCACACCACATCCCAATTCTGCACCTGTTTTACCGCTTTATCCTGGGTTGATGTGTCTACCAGCGCTACTCGGTAAACTCAGTGGTACGCAAAGTATCCTGCGTTCTCACGTGAGCACAACGCCCTTCAAGCCGATACCGAACAATGAGAAGTTTGTGAAATTGTTATGTAAGCATTCACTACTCTTTCTGCGCTTAATTCTTTTTCTTTAGAGTAGATCTGGCAAGATTTCGAGTTAAAGATCCTGTTGAGTGGTTGGTTGACGATGTCGTCTCGTGGATGCTTGATGTTGCGAAACGACATGGGATTCCATTTGAAGAAATGAATATGCACAAGGTTTCTTTTCTCGATTTTTGCATACCACCCTTTACATGAATGTGTGTTTTATTCCCTTTGGCTGTCACAGACACGGTAGTCAAGGAGTGACTACGGAATTTCAGTGAATCCCACATGAAAATTCATAGTCACAATCAGATCTGGTGTTAAAGCTTACCAGGAAAGGTCAACAGGTCGCTCCAACCATTTAAAGTGTGGTGTTAACTGTTGCATTCGCCTTATGGTGCTGGTTGTAGTAACCTCGTGCCAACAACACTGTCTCTCATCCTTCCTCGGGAAGAAATTTCGCGCTAAGGAAAAGCTCAATGCTGATATCCGATCTTTCGTTGGTCATGAATTTGGGGAACCCTCACAAAAGGCCGCGACTAGCTTCCCTTGCATTGACAGTGACAGGCACTTAAAAACTTGAATTTGAAAAATAGCCAAATTTAGTACTAACTAAAGTATTTAATTAGTTAGTTTAATTGATTATAGGACAGTGATAAATATTTTCATGTTTTTTGATGATACTGTCTGATCCCGCGTGGTGTTCTGGAGTGCAAAAACCACCGATTCAGATAAATAGTTTGTGTTGAATTGTATATAAGGGATAATGTTTATTTTTTCAGTTCGCAAACCTCACTGGGCAACAATTAATTGGAATGACGGAACAAAACTTTGTAGAACGAGATCATATCTGGGGACCACTTATTTACAATGAATTCCGCAAGAACCTTGCTGGTGAGTTACTGGATGTAGACGTTGCTTACATAAACCTTGTTATCTTCAGAAGACACTTCTGTAATTGATGAAATCATGAAGAAGTATAACGCTGATGAGGAAATTGTGTCGGCAGCAAGCGCTGGACCTTCTACGTCGTACGAGATTCCGCAAAGTCATCTTGCCGGACCCAGTCCTTCAAACATCGTGCCACAATTTCAAGCCCTCACAGAGACTCTCAATCAAACTTTGAATCAAACGCTGAACCAAGGTATACAGTTAAACTCCAATTTGGCTCAGAATTTGCAACAGAAACTCAATCAGTCGCTGGCAACAAGTTTAGCTGCAGGATTGTCATCAGGTAATGTTGTTTGATGTAGTTTTATTTTCTTCTTATTTTGCAAGTGAGTTATGTTATTACAGGGCTAAGTCCAATTAATCTTGGTCTCGTGCACAATGGCTTGAGTCCCAGTTCGCCAATGATCGCAACGCATTTGCAGCAGAAGCCTTCTCCACTTTCAAATGACCCTTCAACATATCTTGCCGGAAACGCATCTTCTTGCTGTGAATATGAAGGTTCAACTGATTTTTGTTTCTTTTTTTATTCAGGGTTGACTATATAAACTTGCGGACCATTGTTTCTCTTGTCATCTCTGTTGCATGTGAGCAACCTACCGATCCTATACTTAGGCTCCCGGACATTCCCCCTTCAGTACACTTTGTACAGCACCCTTCAATCTGTACTATTACCCATCCCAATGTAAACCCCTCTGTTCAGCGCACGCTCAGAACTACAAATGCTTGCACCATGCTTCCCTATCTAGTCTCGGGGCAGTGGAGTTCTCTGTAAGCTCCAAGTGATTATAAGTTTCCCGAGTTTGGTAGGTGCTGTTAACTACTACTATGTAGTGTGTTCGCAGTTCACATCTCTCCATCTGAGAAGGCAAGTCACTGGAAATGACGTGGCGTCTGCCGCACTTGATAGGAGCTGCGTGGATAAGCCGCTTCCACTATCCTCTGCTGATTTCTAGCCAAGCCTTTCGAAAACAGCTTATCCACCCGACTACTATCTTGTGCGGCTGCCACCACGTCACTCGTTACAAACGGGAATGATGGCAAGTAAACGTAGTGAATTGAGTAACAGTACCTGTAACAGATTCAAAAAACTAACGATCACTGCTAAAGCTCCTGGAAATTCCACTGCTCCGATAAATAGGGGAGGCAGGGTGCAAATGTTTGTAGTTTTGAGTGTGCGCTGAAGAATAGGATTCAAATGAAGAGTTGTGTAGTGTATAGTATGTATTGAAGCGTGTTGTACAAAGTGTACTGATGGGAGGAATGCGTGTAGTCGGGTGATACGACTGGTCAACAAATACTTCGAAGATACTCCTTCCTGGCTCCGCATAAACCTCCATGCATTTAGGACAGGAGTTCAGTTTTTTAACAGAGTTCTGGCATAAGCTTCGCCCGTCTGGTGTCGCTACGCTCACATTGGAACCGGCTCTTGACTAAGCCCTGCCTAATGCCGTACACGCTCATGTGCAAATTCAGGTTTCTCCAGATTAGGAGTGGAGATTTGACTCCGCGAGAGATTTCGGTATAAGTTCTGCTTACGGCGTTGGGCTCTGCCTACTACTGTACACACTTCTGTCCAGGCACCGCTTACTGCCGTACGCACCCTAATCAGAGTCAACCCTGCGTTGCGCAGTTCTCAACGGCCACGTTGCGCAGTTTCGCCCGATTAGACACGTTCTCTCGCGCGAACATTCACACTCGCATGCTCGAGCCGTCTGCGTCTCCGCCCATACAGCGTGCGTTGAGGATCTCTCAACGTGCCGTTGCGAACTGCGCAACGCAGGGTTGACTCTGCCCAATGGGATTTTATCT